GAGAACAGTTGAGAGGTTTGTTGTCTTGGCTTATAATAATCTAAACTGATATATTTAAGTATGTTTTAGGTTAAATTATTTTATTATTCATATATTTTGTCCATATTTCAAACTATCATCTCATATGAACTTAAAATAGCTATTAACTATCTATACACCAAACATTAAGTACCTCCTACTTTTTTATATTTCTATCAGTACAGAAACAGCAAAAAACAACCAGTTAGGTACCATCTGTTGACAATATTAAGTAGATTAATATCTTAAACTATTCCCCAGGTGCTGAAGAATGCTGGGTTAACTCAAAGATGCTGATGGCAATGGTTTTTGTGTCCTGTGTTGTCCTGGCACTATCAACTCTCGTTTGCTTCCTCGTATACAAAGTGAAGATTTTACGTGACCAGTTGCAAGGAAAACCCCAATTCTAACACTGATACCCAAGTTCAACAGACCATTTTCATTGTTTTCTGATTATTCTTTTCCCACATTCGGGCTGGTTCTGTGGTTTTTGCCTTTTCCGCGAGTCTTTGGGCTGGTTCCCTTTAGATCTACTCACATCTGGCTTTGATACTTTTCAAAGGCTTCTCATAAATGAACATGAATCTTTCATGCGATTTAGAAGTGTCTTAAAACTTTCCATGCATTACTGTACTTTTGTTCCATTTGCATTCGTGAAGAGCCTAAGAACAATTTGGTGCTATGAGTTTCATTAAGAGATATACCTTACTTCAGGGGATATTTAAAACTTGACTTCTTATATAACTTAATCTAATATACATGCATATTATATATATGTATATAGTATTTCATATGCATGCATATACATGTGTTTACACTACATATACATGTGTATACAGTATACAGATGGTAAAAAAAAAACACCAGAAAATGCAATAGTTACTCATGAGTGAGTCCATGTACAAATTTCCTTTATTAGTTCACTAGTTAGAACTGGTAATCTCTGCTACATAGTTACAATTAAGTTACAAAAACCAAAGCATCTCTTGTCCTGAGTTCTTCACTGAATGAAAGTTAAGACTGTATGCCAAGGTAAATCAAAATAAATGATTTCTTTAATATCAAGTTTAATTTATACATTTCCTTTTCTTCTTGATTAGAATGAGTAATGCTTCTGTTCTGTTAACAGGAATTTCAAGAAAAATCTATTTATATGCTAACCAGAATCTTTATTAGAAAGAGTACAAAAATATGATTTTGTAAAATAATTACCATACATTAAATTTCAATTAATTATCAATGAACAACAAAACATTTTTAAACAAACAAACAGATCTCAAAAAAATATCTTAAATTCAAAGATCTGCTTCTCATAACGATCAGATCATACATAACATGAAAGAATTTTTGTTCAATCCTCCTCACAATAATAAATCGAATAAATTTAAGATGCCCATCAACATTGACTTCCTATGAAAAACAAGAAGGATTATTCACAAACCATACATATTCCTATGTATGAAATAACAACAACAATAATATCATAACAATATACAGAATAATTCCTCCCTATAGCATAGTAGATCAAGGGTGACATGAATTACTGGAGTTATTTTGTAATATCTTATTCTTTCATATAATCCTCAAATAACAACAATGTGCTTTGTTGTTAGCATTTATTCAATACATGTCTTCCTTAGCTTGTCTCCAGCAACAGCTTTTTTTATATACCACATGTATCAGAACTACTAAATGAGATTCACACATATCCCATGTACAATTTATTCCTCTTATTGGACCTAAACTCATGATTTAGAACTCCCATGAGTCGAGCCAGCGGATGTTCTGAATGGTGCCATTCTCAAAGCCTGGTTCCAGATTATGCATTCCGTATGCAAGGGGTGCAAATATATAAAAACTGCAAGAAAAAATAAATAAAAAAGTTAATAAAATCTCCATGCAGCAACACATTAAAACAAGATTCATCTTGATGTTCCCTATTTTTTATTCTTATCCTTATTAGCAAATTTACATACCTTAGAGGCTTAATAATCAAAATCAAGCTATCTTTCTCATAGCAGAAATATATTTTCCAAATTTTTACTAAATTCTCAGACGACAAAATGCATGTATAAACTTTCAGAGAAAAAAAAATCCTTCCAAGATCTGAATATTATTTTCCGATAAAAAGATGAAAGTTCTCTACTAATATAACATGACCATCTTTAGAACTGAAAGAGGTCATGGTGTACTTTTTTTTGATAATAAACAGTTGCCTTGTGTCATGTACACCAAATATTAACTCATTCTTAATAATAAAATCTTGAAACCATATACAGTACTCTATTTGTAAATATAAACATTAATTATTGATACCCTCCCATGCCCACAACCCCTTTATTACAAATCTAAGAGATTATTTTTTCATGTTAAACAATACTTTACATACAAATACATACCTGTAAGCAAGGACTGAATAAACCAAACCAGTCATCCAGTGATACACTGACACAGACAGGAATGGAGGAACCAGATTCGGAATCGACTCCAGAAGGTAATCAAGGATAACACCTGGAAACAAAATCCATACATACAGAAACTTCACGAAGATAACAGGAACCTCAAAAGATTATGTATACCCAATTTCTGTTTTACAAAAAAAAAAAAAAAAAAAAAAAAAAAAAAAAAAAGGCAACTAATTACAAGAATGACTTACACTAAAAACCTGGGTTTGCTCCTACCTGTAAGCATGGAAGAGAAGAGCAGAGCTGGGAAGTAGTGGTGGAAGTACAAAATACGACCCATGGCAAAGAAGGGCAGGTAGTGAAGTGCCCATGCCACAGCTAGCCACCCACAGGCTCCTATGGCCTTCTCACGTCGGGCTAAAACCAAAAATATAAAGTTAGACCATGAGTAATATGCCACCTAATATATTATTTTTCATGACTCTGGCAGAGATAATATATCTTATGGTGTTCAATTTTTTTCCAGGAAGACTATCAGGCATGAATATCTTTAAAGGGGTTTCACACTAAAGGTTCTGATAAATGGTTTACTGGGAAAGAAGTAGTATACATATAATTCAGCACAACTGTATATTCATTTACCAAACCAGTATTGCAATAAGATAATTGAAAGCGCAAAATAAATTATTATGAAGGTACATTTAAACTGCATATGCATAAGCTTGGATGAAATGGTGGGCTATCTATCTTGCAAATGTTACAAAATATTTCTCAATTCACTAAATCCGATAATCTTTTGCTTAAGAGATCCTAACTACAGAAAACATGAGATATGAGTGATTTTAGTATGCTTGGAATACTTGCAATTTCATGCAATTTCAGTAAAATTCTAAGCACCACAAGTATCACAGTGTAACACAGAGCCATAAAGGAACAAAAAATACAATTCTCCAACTTACTCTAGAAGTCACTTCCAGATTGCTTCTTCTATACCATTATAAAAAATATATATACTCAAATATACACACCTCTTGTTGCAGCATCATCCTTAAGTCCTCTTTGAGTCCTGTAAGCATTGTAGATATAGACCAGCACAAAAGCAGCCAACACAACTAGGTTACCCCACCAAATGATGGGATTACCCAACAGGTAAACTTTGTATCCATCGATAGCGGAGAACCACTGACCCTACATGTGAAACAAATAATGTGTGTCAATGACACTTTGCAAAATACTAAAAAGTGCTTACTTTCAACTATATATTCATCTACATACTCACATCAAGGTAAAGTCATATTTCATCATGTCACTATTACATAAACTGTAAAAATAATGTTAAACACAAGCTAATACCAAAAAGGCTTATAAAGCAGTATCATGCAAGAATAGTTATTCATCATGCAGTAGCCAAGCAAGACTAGCATGTCACAAACTACTAACAAGCAAGCGGAGTAAAAAACTGTATTACTCTTATGCTAATTGCCATGGTAGTTACACACCTTTATCAAAATGAAGTATTAGTTTGTAAACACACATTAGTTTCTCCTTTTTTCCTCATGTATTTGCAATTTACAAGCTGTTAGTCTTTTTACAAAAAAAGAGAACCTGTACACCATGCCAAGTTAACATACAAGTAATTACACTTCTTTACGCATGCACCCTCTGTTACCCATTACCTCCAACAGCTGGAGAAATATAATATCCCCTTTTGATTTGGAAGGAATGCAAGATGTAGAGGTAGAAGAATGCTACCAGAGCCACTAAGTTGCCCCAAAATACAATTGGGTTTCCAAGGAGGTATATTCGAGGATTCCCACCTGAAAAATGTTGACCCTAAAGAAAAGGAGAGAAAACATTTCACCATGAAGAAAAAAAAATTGGTTGATACCTCGATACACATTCTTTGGAACATGATAATGTTAAAACTTTGTTACATTTGTCACAGACCCCAGATTTATGTAAATGAGAAATTGCAATCATTACTTACAAATTTCAGTACAAATTCACTTTTATTATTAGTTTTAGATAAAAGATAGTGAGGGAAGGACTTAAGAACTGAAGACAGGGTAATATGCCCTTTGCTGCTGTATCATATCCACTGACAATAATTCATTGTATTTACACAGAGATGGTTCCACAAGAGCTTAGTCACAAAAGTGTCAATTACTTGTCCTGCTTTTTTCATAAATTTTCATTCTTTTTATTGCTATTAGTGTCTTCATAAATATATATATATAATAATATAGTGTTAATAATAATAACAGCAATACATCAACAGCTATAAAAAAAAAGAAAGAAAAGAAAAGGGAAATCAGGTGAAGCAAGTTACATCAACCAATTGACACCTTGGAGACTGAGCCCTTGTGAAGTCATCTATGTGTAAAAAAAATTTACAAAGCAATTTTACATTGGACAGTTCATGCACCCAGTGACACTGGGTGAATAGATGGCAACTGACATGTACCCAATTTTATGCATGTTGAAAACAACAATATGTACTTTTCTAATGGGTGTGAAAAAAAAAATTAAAATTCCACTTACAATTGAAAACTAACTAACACATGGTTTTCACTGAATAACCACTCACACCTTTGCTGATAATGAACATAGAAGGGAGAGAGGGAAGGAAGGAGAGGAGAAAAATAAAAATAAAATGAACAGTGGGGGAGGGGGAGAGAGGGAGGGAAGGGAAAGGAGGAAAGGAGGAAGGGAGGAGGAAGGGAGGGAGGAAGGGAGGAAGAAAGGGAGGGAGAGAGGGAAGGAGGGAGGAAAGGAGAGAGGGCAGGAAGGAAGGGGGAGGGAGGATGGGAGGAAGGGGGGAAGGGAGAGGAAGGGAAGGGGGAGGGAGGAAGGAAGGGAGAGGGAGGGAAGGAGGGAGAGAGAGAATGAGGGAGGGAAGGAGGGAGAGAGGGAATGAGGTAGGGAAGTAGAGAGGGCAGGAGGGAAGAGGGAAGGGAAGGAGGGGGTGAGGAGTGGAGAAAAAGAGAAAGACAGTGAACAGTGGGTGGAGGAGAGAAGGAGAGGGGGAGGGAAGGGAGAGAAAAAGAGAATGTACTAAGATTATGTTTCCATTAGACCTCTTTGCTTCCAGAAAAATGTTATTGTAAAATGAAACAACAAATAAAATCATATTTCGGGAATTCTTGGCAACAGTTTACAGTATAATGCAGTGTTGTATGAAAACATTTCAAAACTTAACATTTCTAAGTACAATATGAAAGTCTTACAAGAATGACATTGTTTAAAAGTGAGAGTATAAACAATAAGTGTGCCCAATAAACAAAGATAAATAACTAAAAAAAAAAACATCATTTACACATCTCTTTTTATGATCAAGTCACTTATCCAGTCATTAAGAATGTCCAATATAAACAGGAACATAAACTTAAGAAAAGGGATTTTACACAAATTCATTATGCTAAGACTGCTCTACATTCCTATTACGTGCAAGTTTGCATATAGGTGCATAAAGCCAAAAATTATCTTTCGTCCTTTCACTACCTCTTCCAAAGTAAACTGTAATAGCAATTAGAAGTTGACAATGAGCTTTCTACATAGGATCCAATCAATAAATGAAGAGAAGCCCTTTAACCCGATCCAGATGGGCAACGTGCACCGGCATCATAACAAACCGCTTGGTCTGCAGGGTATGCCTGTATGCATGGCGACGCACCAGAGCGTGTGGAGCGGGACGTTCCACTCAATGTGGTGGACTCCCGTGCCCAGTGTCTGGTTGTTGCCAGAAATCACCAGAGCGTATGATGCTCAGGGATTTCCGTTTACCCGACAGTCATTGGTTATATACAATTATAACAATAATAGAAAATAAATATTCTACATAAAACCATACCAATATCTTTGTGTAATCATTCTATATAAAGCTAAACCAACTCTTTTATAGAAGCCTTTTGCATACAGCTCAACTAGCACCTACCAGAAGCCTTCACCTTGATATATGTTTAGGAAAAGTATGCATAGGAAAGAGAATACATACCTTGATGTTAATTGGCCACTGCCAGGGCTGTGAGGTGATCTCTCCTTCTTTGGGTTTCAGCCCAGAATTTCCTTGGAACATTACAGTGTGGGCTTCAAAGAATTTCTCCAAGAAATTAGGTGCATAAATCTCAAAACTGGTATTGGGTACTGAAAAAGAAAAACAATGATGGCTTTATTATTCAGTATTATACATTATCAATATATCACAAGCAGTCTTGTCTTAAAGTTTTGTAATGAAATCTATATCCTTAGTACTTCACTTACATTTTGGGAAAACATTATCCTCAATATTCCAAACATTATTAGGATCATGTACGTTGGGATTGCATGTCACTTCCATCTGTTCGAAGCCCCTGAAAAAAAAAAATGCACATCTTAATCCTTTCAGACATAAAATTGAAGGCCAGGGTTGTTGTCCTTAATGCCTATAATCCAGATGACACAACCATCACATGTAAAAATTTGGTTTGAGGGCAAGTGATGTGAACATGCCTCATGGGAAAATCTGCCTGTGGGCCAGGGCGGCAATAACTTGGCATCATTAGCATTTCAGCTGAAAGCTGGGCTGACAGGAAATACAAGTGCACTTCTTAACCCCTTGGTGCCGGGTGACGCCGATCAGCGTGTACACAAAGAGCTCGAAAGCTGGCGTGCAGCCAAACGAGCCGGCAGCGCACCAAAGCGCGGCGAGCCAGTGATTCGGGCTGATGTCCCCTACTCACGCGCTCAAAGTCGGCGCACCGCCTTTGTTTGTTTAAGCGTAGAGTTTTTTTTTTCTTTTGTACACCTGGCGCCATTAGGTTAAAGGGTGGTTAGTCTTATTTGGGATTTGGAAAGGGGCTTTTGCATGCAGTGTCCATGAACTACGACTGGAAGAGCACTGGCTCCTCGGAGCACACTATTTCCATGCTCATCAGGGACTGGTGGCACAGGTTGTATTATAGAAAACCGATTTTTAGAAAATACATTCCTTATTGTTATTATTCTTGCACTGAGTTATGGAGTCTGTACAAAGAAAAGTCTATTAGATGTCATTTATCAAATTTTAAATATGGACATTGGAACATGGTAAATGGTAAAAGAAAGAAAAAAAAAAAACTGATGCAGAAAAAGAGAAAATGGCATTGCAAAGGGGGGAGACAGTCTTGTCATAGCACACAAGTGTTTGTGTGCACCCGAACTACAAGCCATGCACCCGTCAGAGCAACTGCTAATATATGCCTAATGCGCATTTATTGGGACATGTGATTGCCATGAAGCAATAAAGCAATTTTTGACCCACTGATCCAATGGGTCAATAACAGGCATTATATAGAGATCTACAATTCTTAATAATATCGGACAAAGAGAGGAAAAAAAAGCTTATCAACAAAAAGATACTTACCACTTAGGCAGTTGCTTATTGTGGGACATCAGTGAACAGCCAACTAGATAGTGCACAAAGCGTAATTTGTGAACCACTGTTTTCACAATTTCCTCCTCTTCTCCGTTAATTACTTCTACACGCCACACATCATTCACATCTCCAACTCCATTCTGAAGTACATTATTGAAAAGGTGATTTTTCATAATGTTTAAATACACCAGTTTTCAATCAAGTAATAACAATTATATTCCTCATTAAATGTATTAGAACTAGATTTTTCTTTTTATATACACAAATATCAATATAATATGAATCATGATTTCCTAACATCTAAATGACCCCTTTTTTCAAAATCCCTGCGCTAAAAACAGAACACCGAATGTCAAGGCAGTTTTTAATACACATATACTTACTTCACCATACCCTGTTACTTGATGGTGTCGCTTAGTGACAGGAGCCTGTTCACGATGTGAGTGGAGGTTTCTTCCAGTCGGGACATGCTCTAAACGAATGAGATCACCATTTTTCACCAGCTCTACAGGATCATCATCCTCCCAGTCACCTGGTTCTTCATTCCATTTCTTCACCAACCTAAAAATATAGAAATGTCATTATCTATCTCTAGGTAGTTGTCATCCATAATGGCTACCATGATGATAGCCATTAAAGAATTGTACCAACTATCATTTATAAAAAATTTTGTATATATCAAAAGTCATCATATATAACACTACAGATAAAACAAACCATTTGTTATTGTAATCCTTATGGGAATAGGTGGTGATCTGTTGTTGCCGAGCTCCAGTGCCTTCAGGATATAAATGAATGTGGGAATGCAAATAGCCTCCACCTGTGCGGGCATTCTTCAGAGTGATTTCAGCACCATATGCAAGTTCTGTTGATAAATTGGTAATTTTTAGCATTTTTTTTTATATTACATGAAATAACATACAGAAACATATATATTATATATACTTTTACTTTTCAAAATCTAAATGAATACTGCTAACATTAAAATTCTATCATAAAGATAACATGAAACTGAGCAGGGCCAAAGATACTATAGTCATTTCTACAATATGCTTCACCTTTTAGATGCAAATGGAAATTAATAGATAATACATCACAAACAAATTATAAACTTCGAACTAACCTAATGGCATGCTGGCATTGTATAAGGAATTGCCTTCTAACTGGGACTGGAAAGCAGAACTATAGAAGCCATCTCCATTACCACTGCAAAAACAAAAACAAAAAAAAAATCACAAATGTATGGAATGTATATGGTGTATTGCTTAAATTTATATATATAAAGTCTATAATGTCAAAAAAATCTTGCATAATTATCACATTAAAAACACAAGTAAAAAATCAAAGAGCTATTACCTTTTGCTCAGAACTGTCAGATGAATGTAAAAATACACACAGTACAACACAATTGGGAGGACAATAAGACCCATAGCACGAGCAATAAAATGCTTCCCAACATAGAGCTGTTAAAAAAAAAAAGAACAAACTTAAGCATAAACATCAAAAAGAAGAGATCAGAGCTCCTTAATGGTGTGGAGGCCAACATACAACACCACAAACAAGCCCACAAATTTGACAGATACTGATCCCGATAACATCACCCCAGTGAAAGTCAGCCAGCCCACCAACCAACTGAGAAGGGCCTGATTAAAAGAAAGACAAATAGAATATAAGAAAATATCAACAAATACACATTTTCAGAGCTCCTTAATGGTGTGGAGGCCAACATACAACACCACAAACAAGCCCACAAATTTGACAGATACTGATCCCGATAACATCACCCCAGTGAAAGTCAGCCAGCCCCACCAACCAACTGAGAAGGGCCTGATTAAAAGAAAGACAAATAGAATATAAGAAAATATCAACAAATACACATTTTAAAAACACCAAGTACAATAAAGAATTTAAAATATGCAGTTATTATTAAAGGCTATACAGATTTTCATATTCCCAAAATATCTAGACTGAAACAGGGAAATAAATAATTTTGATGAAAGAGTGAATAGCAAGTTATCTGAATAAAAAGGTTAAAACAATAATAACATAGAATTTGCTTGTAACACATACCTCTCATGCTGGTTAAGGAACTTCATCATGCCCATCACAGATCCCATGATGAAGAAAAGCAGAATTGGATCCAGTAAAATGTACTGATTTAGTGTCAGCAAACCAATATCTGCAAAATTTTGAATTATATTTAGCAAAAAATTATTTACTCTATAATTATAGCAGGAAAAGGCAACAAACACTTTTCTTAAATATATACCTACAAAATTTTCCTCTCGTATAAACAGTACCATTTACCTCTTAACCCCAAACCAATGGGAATGGCACTTAAATACATGTCATGCCCACTTTGAGTTTATTTTATTAATTGCTTTTACACATAGGCTCCACTTGTACTAAGTCACCAATGAGCCAATGATGACTACTTGTCTCACTTGTTTACCCTTTTCCTTGATTTTCCTAAATATTTATAACATTCTAGTAAATGTAATATCTAACAAAAATAACACCATCAATATTCATAGCATCAGTAAAAAAAAAAAATCCCTGCAAATATATTCAGTGTATATATACATATATAAAAGAAAAGAAATCTTTTAAAGTAAAATTTGTTTTTACATGTATAAAAAGCAAAAAGATAATGATATATCAGGTGGTAACTGATGTAACAGTATGGTGGGGATTTGCTGAATGAAATATGTCATGCAGTACTCAAATTATTGAAAGACTGTAAGGAACATTACAGGAAAAACAAAAATAAGCATGTATATTAAGGAAGTACCTCAGAATGAGAGATCAACTGGCTTTTTTTAACATTTAGGAGCAATTTCTAGCACACCGAATAAGTAAGTAAGTAAATAAATAAATAAATAAATAAATCAGATCGTGTAACATCACAGCCATACTCTCTATCATATGATGCCTGTTGTGATACTTATCAAGTCCAAATAACTGCCATTAGTGACAACTCATCAACAATTAAAAACATAATTGGCCCATAAGAAGACCTAAAACTCACCAAAAAGAATAAGAGAAGACCCCAGGGCTGCTGCTGGGAGAGAATGGGTCATCTCCCAGACAATAATGAAGGCAAATGGTACCAAGCAAGCCCCCAAGGCAGTGCAACACTGAAATTAGGAAGGATTTATTAATTTAGATGTACAATTAGTTTACACATGGAGTAAAAGCTTAACTTAAATCAGAGTTTCATGCCATACAACCATCAGATGAAGACAAATGTTTTGTGAGAACAACTGACCTCTCTTAAATATAGCTCTTACTATCTGTATGAGAATTCTGCAACTCCCTAGTAATACAGCAAATACTCCCACTTACCACTCTCATACCCAGATAGTTGACTCCTTCATACGAGTCCCCAGGCTTGACAAATGGAAATGTCCCATCATATCCAGTCAAGTAACCAAAGGCTCCAATCATCATCTGTGTGCATAAAGAAAGCATTTTGTCACAGAAAAAAAAGAAAAAAATATATATTATTATTATTATTATTATGAAGGGAAAAAATTCATTTCCAACTATAAATTATATTTAACAATACTGACCTTTCCAAGAGGAGGATGAACATCAAAGAAAAACGTTCTGTTAATGTACCAACTTCCAAACTTCCCAAAATGAGTTTCATCCCAACTGAAACAAAGAGGACACAATCTATATAGTAATCCTTCACCATCACACATGGTGTACTGGATGTGGTAAGTTTGTTAACCCAATGCCGATGGGTATGATGTGTACGTACGTGCTATGCCCACTATGGCTACACTTGTACTAAGTCACCAATGAGCCAGTTACGAGTACTGCCTGTCTTGCCTGTTTACCCTTTTCTTTGATTTACAAAATATTTTACGTTATCTTATTTTGCTGTTACTAATGTTAAAAAACATTATAATAATTATAATGTTTATAATAAAAGTAACACCATCGATATTCATAGCACTAGTAAAAAATATGTTTTTCCTGCCATTTCCAATTAGGTACCGTCACAAAGTCTACTAACTGACTCCTTTGTGACTAAGCACTGGCAGAGCCATCTATGGGCTGAAATTTCACAAAAAACATAGAAAATAGGCACAGCATTTTCCCCAATGGCATTGTGTTAAAAAAAGATTGATAGACAAACTCAAAAAAAGATACAAGTACAAATAAAAAATACACATGCACAGTACTGGTTATACAGAATATATATTTAGCAGCCACATGACTGGATATTACCATAAAATAAAAACCATCATAAATGTATAGAAATGTATACAAGGCCTAACCTATTAAGATATCAACTCCAGCAGATACTATTTGATTTATATCATTTTGCTCATAATTGCAGTCACCAGATTTCTCTAGTGACTACATATAAAATAAAAGAGAATATCTTTCCAAGTAATCATGGCAATATAGTGGATGAAAAAAAGAGAAATAAAAGAATAGAATGCATACGTCAAATTTATCAACAAAAGTACCTATAAATTATCAAAATAAATGAAAAAAAATTAAAATAAGTTCTAGTTTCTAATAAATATATAGCTTTCATTTAGAAAACTGTGCACCAAGAACTATCATGAAAAAAAATGAATTTTCTAATTTTTTTCATTATAATTTGGTCATGGATATAAACCAAAGTTGAAAAAAGCAATGCTAGTCTTAATAATCTTACAAAGCATCATGAAATATAAATCATACCCATAGATTATGAACTCAAATAAAAAACTACTATAATTCTAAACTCAATGCACAAAAATCAAGTTTCCCAAAGTATCTAACCTATAATTTTTTTTCAATACAAGGTATACATGACCCCACACACACTCAAAAAGTCTAACAAGAAAATTTAAAAAACTATTTCCAACAAGAAAATAAAGACCTGTGTGCCCCCGTTTTCTTCTAGTTAACATATAAAAAATTGAAAAAAGTCAAAAGCTGTCTTGTCATACTTGCTGAATCATAGGGAAATCAATACTATCCACAAAACCACATGAAAATCTCTCTCAGCTTTTATCATGATTTTACAAAGGCCCACACATCAGTCCACTAGTCGTATTAGTCACATGCCATACATTCACTTTATAAAACATATAATTTTCTATTCTAAAACCACAAAGATAACACAAGAAGATGCAACAATCAAGTATATAAGTCAGAGTTCTTTATAACAGGGTTGGACTGAATTGCTGGAAAGGGAGTGAAAGTGAAGATGTGCTGTGTCAGGCTTAACCCACCCCCTCCCCCTCCCCTTCCCCTTCCCCTTCCTTCTATCATCCATCCCTCCACTGACCATGCTCACTGGACTGGTAATAGAAAGGCACAGAGACATGGAGGCTGGATTTGAATCCGACTCCAGCTCCTCTCCCTCTTCCTCTCACACACACACTTACAAATACATGCTCACATGCGCACACACACAAGCTCACAAATGAAAACAATCAATCATAAGTAAAATGGACTGCAATATGGAAAACACACCTAAATAATGATTCATAATAAAACAAAATGCTTTTCTACTCTCATGCTGATGCAGACTTAAAACTTTGAAGTCAATCTCAGATCAGTGCAATAGTTGCTCAAGTTTTATAAAAATTCTGTGACCTCATCAAGATATCATGTGTATGCACAATGATATGTGCAACATGAATTCAGAACTGGGTTAATTTCACTAGGTATTCACACAAGTACATTGCTTGCATGATTACCAAATAACACTCTTTTTAACGTCTGATCAAATGAATACATTTGTTGAAAATATTAATGTTATATGAAACAATTATTTCCAGCAATCATGTTTACTGCCATGATTTCTTTTACATTTAGTCATGTTTACATACTATGTATCATTCTTATTATCAAGTTTTGAAGGAATTGCCACAGATGAAAGTCTTAAATTTTGTCATTCTGTCCATTCTATGTACTTTTTACCTTGCACCATATGGCCATGCGAAATAAATTTAACCCTCATTCTCAAAGTGATAAAAGTGAAAGCAATGGTCCAGAATAGGACCTTATAAAGTGACTAAGAACCATCATGCTGTGCGCTCAAGCAAGGACCAACAAATCCTAACCACGTACATTGTGGCATGATAAAAGTTTTAATTGGTTACCTATTTGAGTATAAGGTATATATTTACTGCAAGATAAGAAAAGTCTAAGGACATAGCCATAAAGAGCAGAAGAAACTCAACACACATTGATATAGGTAATAATCTGCACCAACAAAGAATGCCAGAAATTAATATGGATTGTGACAAAGCCACGTACAGACTAAATTCAAAGTGACTAGATGGAGAGCTCTGCCCCTGCGTCTGGAAATACAGCAATCAGGTGTGGGTCTTAGGAAGGTGTTTGGTTCATATGAATGTTTGTGGATTTTCAGGAATGTCCCAAAGGTTGTTAGCTGGAGTAATAGGGACTTAGCCTCTGGGGGTACAGTCATTTTGTAAACAGGTACCAAGTAAAACTCACCGAGGGAGTTTAATAAGCTCTATCTTCCCTAAGTATACAATGTAGAAGTTTGTTGGCTTTTGTCATAGAAATCATTTGGGTTAGGCACCATTTTTAACAAACTGAACCATTATGCTAGCTTGTCTAGATTGCTTTAGAAAGCAAAATGCATTATTCTGATTTCATTACAGGGCAATGTATGTAGCCTATTTATATTTATATCTTCATCTAATACCATTATATACAAATTACCGAAGTTAATTTTGACAATTAGCAAATACAAATTACCGAAGTTAATTTTGACAATTAGCAAATACAAAAATGTTTGTAGAAACACTTACACAACATGTTCTGGCTCTCCAACTTTGTAAAACCTTGTTGCTGCGGTCAAAAGGCAAATCACACCAAACACTATCCACCACATCTGAGAGTCACCATGTCTGAAAAAATAAAGACACACATTGTTAGTAATATGTCTTGCCAGTGGAAGAATACTATCATATTTCTTTACATATATACATACAAGTAAAATTCTTAATTACACAAGTATAAATACACAAGAACTCAAAATACAAAATAATTATTTAACTTCATAATAAAAATTAAAAAAAACCTGAGGTAGCTTCAACCCATGCCAAAGCTCATGACAAAAATAAGAAAATACAATACAGTGCCAAACAAACTAAATACAACACTAAAAAGCCTCGGGGGAAATTCCTTCCTCAGAAT